TGTTTTGCCTACATGACATTCTGCCTACAGGCAGCCTTCTGTTTACATACATCACATTTTCCTGTCTACAGCCTGCCTTCCGTTCTCAATACATAACGAATACTTATTGTGAACTACTTCCCCAATCACAGACGATGACTTTGCTCGTGCGTGTGGCCAAATAAATGACTAGTCAAACACCATGAATTTTCGTCACAGGGATTATCGTGCGACTGACCATTGGTCGAAAGTGCTAGAACGGTCTCTATGACCGGCACGTCATGGATAAGGATTTTCTAGAACGCTCAGGACCCCAAATCCCTAAGTTGTCTGACAAGATGAACAATTATATTATAAAAATCTGTTAAGGTGGTAGTTGTCCCCAGAAGCTGCTTTCTGTCCCTTTCACAGCCGTCGAAAAATAGCAATAACCTGGGTGACAGGCCTTTTTACCGCAAACCTTGACATAGAGATCACTTGGCGGCTAGAAGCCACTAGGTGTGGACGACAGAGTGCCTGATCGCAGTTGAGTAATCTGGCGCACTTTATATAATATCTTACTGAAACTCTCCCGATAATGACACAGGTTATATCGCAATAAAGACCAACCCCCAAAGATACCACCTAACGTTTGAAAGGGAAAGGCTCAATCATTTTCCCAAGTTGCTTCGAGCATCTTGAAAACAGCCCATGCATTCTGCCTGAAGGTTACATGGTAGTGGTTCGAGTCGGTAATAGGTCTGCATTTTCAGTAGTAGGCTTCCATATCGATTTGTCCTCCAAAATATTGTACGCTGTTTGACTTCGTGTCCAGTCCTTGAAGTGAGCTGCTACAAAAAGTTTCTTATTCGTTTCTGTTGATCTATGGCCTGTGCTGTCTAGCCTCGTGTTTTCTGCTATGCAGTCAAGAAGTCTTCGGTCCATGAGTCCCATCAAGTCAGCATGAGTATATCAGCTGAACCCGGTACGACGACGACTTTTATTTGTTTATTTTGCAAACATTACATTTTCGTAAAGCACAGTACTGTATGAGTGAATATCAGCCACTGTTAAACAGAAATGCCACACATCAACTGGGAATGCAAAGGCTAAGAGAACAAATGTAGGTCGGAGTAAATAATATAGATGAGAGAGGAGCAACAGCTACTGCCGGTGTAAATCACTCGGTCTTCTCAAACGCCTCACTCTGGTTTGCTTGTTCATCCTTTCTCGCCGCTTCCTTGGCAGCCCTGATTCTGCGTTTGGCCTGCCACAGACGTTTTTGGAGACGAATGTTGTTGAATAACCAGCAGATATCCCGTTTTAGAGTTGCCAGGTCTAGCAACAGGAGAGCCACCAGAAAGAAGACAATGATTGACGTGACCAC